CCCCCCCCTTGCTGCCACCTTTCCAAACCCCCGCCGATCACCACCACCCCAGTGTGATTATTTGTATTGTGTCTGTTGCTATTTCAACTTGTCGGGTGTCATGTTGTTGTATTTTCCCTTTCTAACGTATTGATTGCAGCCACTTAAATGGTTTTGTCAATAATATATATTTTTCCTATAGTGCCTTGGGTTAACTCCAGTATCCGAAAAAAGCTTGATGTCTAGGAAATTTCATTAACAACTATGGGTTGCCACCTCTTCGGTATCTCCAGTGGATTGTTCTAGTTTGATTTTAAAATTTATTGACTTAGCGGCTTTATTAGCATGGGAATTGGCAAAAATATAGGTTGAGTTCCGGCTTACATCTACTAGATTTCCCCACTTTTTGATATCTTCGGTTTAGCTTTCTAACTGATTAGTTTTTCAAACTGCTACCACACCTTCATTTAGATAGCAATTTCTTGTTGCCTTATGAAAAATTAAGTGGTTGGAAATTGCATTTCACAACCATCTTTGTTCTCTTTAAAATTTATCTTACCATTTCCATATTCTATTATCGACTAAACTTCGTAACTCAATCAAAGATTTATAACCCCATCACTTTTTCTTGGGAAGAATATGAAACTATATAACTAGAAATATATTTTGGATAGTGTTACACTGGCGCCTAAAGTCAATTTAATCTTTTACGTTTCTGGTAATTTAGTCTTTTCTTAGTTATTATTGTGAGGTATAAAAAGTGCTTTCTATGCTTAGGGTTAGGTTATACATGAAACTGTGGTCTAGAGTTTTATGTTTAGGGTTTGGAAGAGATCACGTACCTCTCGAATTGTAGATTATTATCTTTGTGTATTCAGGTTGTTTTGTTTTATTTTAATTAAATAAAATATTTGTTTGTCCTAATTTCTACAAAAAGGTCATTTTTCATATTAATTTGATATCAAAGCATTCGACCGTTGTTGTACCTTACAGTTGAAATCGCCGAGACGTCTGGTTCCGGCATGCCAATCGATCCTAGAAGCATTCTGGAAGCGTAACAGAATGTTGCATACAGGTCAGATTGCATTCATGACTAAACCGCAAGAAACAGTTACGATTTGAGGAAGTAGACAAGATCGCAGCGTATGGGGCATGACCTAATCATGTAGCCCTCCTTTATGGCTGCACTTTGTGATCGAATCGCGATTAGAACTAGCGGGTAAGCAACTTCGGAATTGTTGCATATAGTCTTCTCTGTCAGGAAGGATTTGCGACATGCACCGAATTGTGACATATGCCTCCATCGCTGTCTCATTCATGATTGAACCCAACTAAACACCTGTGAAACCATCGATAGGATTGAAACATGCAAATTTTTTCTCCTTCGTGATAAAAAGATCGTGAGAGATGGCAGTAAGGAAAGTGGATGATCTAAAAGAGAGATAGGAAGGAAAAGTATGGCAACATAAATCTAGAATGGAGGAAATGTTCTCAACCATAGAAGAAATATTTTCTTCAATGGAAAACAAATTTGAGAGTCGAGATTAGAGGGCTTGAAGAAGATGAGGATGAAATGCAATCCAAAACCCAGCCATTGGCCAAGCAAATGTAGTTAGTTGATGCTTTGAGCCATAAATCCATAGGTGATGCAAGCTATATTATAACTCAAGAGCTAGAGCTGACTAAAGAAAATGATGCTTTGCAGTTGAAAATCAGAAGATCGGGTAGTATGGGATATTTATATCAGTTGATAGTGCAACCAACTTTTATAGAAAGAATAAAGGTGGATCAAAGAGTTAGCAACGAATATCCAAAATTTCTGAAACAACTTCAATCAGGAAAGGTGGCGAATATGACAGTTGATGAAGATGGTGTAATTAGAAACGAGTTGCAGTTATGAGTACCTGTTGATTCTGATTTGAGACAAAATCTTACAAGAAGCTCATCATTCAGGATACCAATTCATCCAGGCAGCACTAAAATGCACATGGATTGGAAATTAATATTCAGTGATATATGTATCTCAATGTCAAGTTTGACAGATTGTAAAGGTTGAGCATCAAACATCCAGCGAATTACTACAAGTATTGCCAATACCTGAATGAAAATGAGAAGAAATTGCTATGAATTTTGTTATGGGATTTTCTCGATCTTAGCAGGGTTACGATACTATTTGGGTAATTATTGATAGGTTAACAAAGTCAGCTCACTTTTTATCAATCAAGCAGCCAGATTCAGATAAAAAAGTGGGTCATATTATATGTCAAAAAAATTAACAGATTGCATGGTGTTCCAAAAAACATCATTTTTGACATAGATGAAAGATTCATATCTACATTGTGGGAAGAAGTTCAACAAGGTTTGTGTATACAGTTACATTTTAGCACAACGTTTCATCCACAATTGACGAACAGTCAAAAAATACAATTTCGGTATTGAAAGATTTGTTGCGGCTTTGCGTTCTCAACTTTAGAGGCAGTTGGGAAGATCACATTTCAATGATTGAGTTCGCCTACAACAATAATTATCAATCCAATATCAAACTGACTCCTTATGAAGCATTGTATGACATGAAATACATAACTCCATTGAGTTAGGTTGAAGTAGATGAACATTAAATGTTAGGTCCTAAGTTAGTTGATGTAACTACAGATAAAATCAGATAAATCAGAGACATGAAAAGCTGCTCAGATTCAACAACAGAAATATTACGACCTAAAACATAAAGCATATTATATTGAAGTTAGTCATTTCGTATATTTGAAAGTCCAGCCAATTAAAGGTACATCAATTTGGTCAAGGAAGCAAACTAAGTCCCAGGTACATAGGTTCTTTGGAAATTATAGAAATGATCGGACATGTTGATTACAGGCTAGCGTTATCAGCTGATTTGTCAGATATTGACGATGTGTTTCATATTTCAATGCTGAGGAAATGGATTTAAAATTCAAAACAGAGGAATTCATATGAAGAAAATGACGTATTGAAAAATCTATGTCTGAAAGAATTTCATAAACTGATAACAAGAAATTGAGGGACATACCAATTTCTTTTGTCAAGGAAAAGTGGAGGCACGGGCCTGAAAAAGGAAACTACAAGAGAAAAAGGAAGAAATGCAACAGAAATATCCCTCTTAAAAGTCAAAAATTTCAAGGACTGTTTTTAGAGGGGAGAGTTGTAACGCCCAAAACATAAAAATCAGATAATAATAGCAAATTCTAGAAGTACTCAAAATTTTGCACCCTTCAAAACTTAATAAAATTATTTTTATAAAATTCTATGCATTAAATTGACCATTTCAATATAGAGTAATATATATTAATTATGTATGGATTGTGAGAAATAAAATTTGGATGTTATGAGTTCAATTAACTTAATGAAACCCAATTAAATCCTTACTCCCATCTCTCCACTGTATCCAACCAGCTTTTTCTCGACATGTAATGGTGTGATTTTGATCGAACAACAGTGGGAAAAGGTAAGGGTGAAATTAAATGTCATGTTTCCTTATTTTTCCCTATTCTTATTCGATTTTCGTGCATCTGGAGGGATCCCGCAAGATTCTGTGCGATCATGCACTGTAGCAAGTGCAAATTGAAGGCCGAACGTTGCAATCCGAGGTCTCGGGGTGATTTCTTTAAGTGCAAATCCCTTTTTTACATTATTATAAACATTATTTCTCTTCCTCTTGTTTCCGTTTTGACGTTTGTCATGAATTTGTGCATTTATTCA